TTGTCTTACTTTTTGTAATTTCCCCTCCCTTGGCTTTTGTTCAGCCGCCCTGAGTCCCTTCGGGGAATAGGGCGCCCTACAAATTGAATAAACTCCAACTCCTGCCTCCACATTGTGATGCCGGCCAGGGGTCCTCGGCCCCTCTTTCGAAGGGTCCAACGCGGGTCTCTCCCCGCCCCTGCATCGCGGGAAACCACCGGTTGCCGCCCCCGGCTTGCTGGTCTCGGGGATTCACCGCCCTCGTTCCGGGTGGGACTGGGCCCTCGGGGGGGGGGGGAGAATCGCGTCTACACAGACGTAATAAGAGCGGCGGTCAAGCGCCAAACTAACGCGTGGATCATTTTAGCGGACGCCCCCGCTGTCCCAACTGCCAACAGGCAGGGCCGAGGCAAGAAAAACTTTCCGCTGCCCTCCGGGAGAAGCTCCGAGGCCGGTCTCGAGCGCCGCGCAGAGCACAGGCGCGGCAGCCTCCAGGCCCGGCCGCCTTCCCCCAGGCGCACTCTGATGACACCACCGCGAAGGCCGCAACAACGGCTTCCGGCGGAGCGCCGTCACTTCCGGCGAGTAGGCGCGGCGGCCGCCATCTTGGGCGGCTGCGGGAGGCGGCGACCGGGTGGGCGCGCGCGATCGGCGGCGACGCTGCCGCTCTCCCCCGCCGGCCATGGCCGGGCAGTTCGACGCGGAGGACCAGGCGAGCTGGTACTGGGGACGGTTGAGCCGGGCGGAGGCGGTGGAGCTCCTGCAGGGGCAGCGCCACGGCACCTTCCTGGTGCGGGACTCGGGCAGCATCCTGGGCGACTTCGTCCTCTCCGTCTCCGAGAGCTCGCGCGTCTCGCACTACATCGTCAACAGCCAAGGCGGGGGCGGGGCGGGGGCGGCCCCCCCGGCGCCCGGTGAGTCCCCCCCCCCTCTCCCCCCTTTCCGGCCTCTGCCCCGCCGCCGCCGCCGCCGCCGCCCGGGCGAGGAAGCGGCTGGGAGGTCTCTCCTTCGCCCGGGTGTCCTCGGGATGCGGCCGAGCGGGGCGTCCTGGCTGCAATTCTGGTGGGATCGCTTTCGACTTACCCATCCCTAAGATCCCCTCGCGGCCTCCCATCCACGCCCCCAGCAGGGCCGGCTGCTTTTGCTGTTTGAGATGAGCCGGTGTCGCCTGTTGCTGCCGCCTCTTCCGTGTAGTTGAATAAAATGCTCTTTGGCAGTCAGGATTTGGCTCCTCTGTTTGCAAAAGGCCTTTTAGGCCACAGAAGCCCCAGTTGGTTGCCTCTGTCCTCTGGGCTGAATGGTGAGGATTAGGACCCTTCCTGTGGCGGCTCTCAAGGCCCAAGTCAAGTTGTGGAATTTACATTTAGGTTTGTAGTTGTTCCCTTTAGTTCAAGGGGCTGATATCTTCTTTTGAGTTTGTATTGCCTCTGAAGAGCCTCCGCTTAATTTTGCTGCTTACAAAGTGAATTTGTGCATAAGTTATGTACAGATGCAATAATGGTACTGTCAAGTAATGGACATTATTTATTTAGTTTTTCATTTTTAAGAAACAAAATGAGTTATTGGTTGGATGCTATTCTTGGTATTTCCTATTTTGTTTAATTATCTTTTTGTTTCCCCGCTCGCAGGGTCGTCTCCTAAGTTTCGGATAGGTGATCAAGAGTTTGATTCCTTACCAGCTTTGTTGGAGTTCTACAAAATACACTACTTGGACACTACAACGTTGATAGAGCCTGTTTCAAAATCAAAGCATAACAATGATGCGCAGCTCAGGCAGGAAGAAGTTGAATATGTACGTGCTCTTTTTGACTTTAGTGGCAATGATGAGGAAGACCTCCCATTTAAGAAAGGAGACATACTGAGGATCTGGGAAAAACCCGAAGAGCAGTGGTGGAATGCAGAGGACGGTGGTGGCAGGCGAGGCATGATACCGGTTCCTTATGTCGAGAAGTATAAGGCTGCCTCTGCTGCAGTCTCCGCTCCGATTGGAAGTAACCAGGATAGTACGGTCCCACAGGCACTGGGTGGGCCAGAACCAGGTCCCTATGCCCAGCCTAGCATCAACACGCCACTTCCCAATCTTCAGAATGGGCCAATACTTGCCCGGGTCATCCAGAAGCGGGTCCCTAATGCTTATGACAAGACAGCCTTGGCCTTGGAGGTACGTAGTGGCGCAGTGCAGAGGGAATTCTCACTCGGGTCCTTCCGTTTCGAAAAGAACAGGGGAACCCAGCGAGCAGCAAGGCTTCCAAGCCACTGGTGCTGATGTTCCTCACAAATGTAGCATGCAGAAAGACTAGCATGATCTCCTTGAAATGGATAGTATTTCTGTGTTGTGAGTGCTGTCTGTATTTGCCTCTCCTGTGAGAAACACACTGATTACTTGAGTTCTGTCTGAAGCATTTTTCAGAGGAAAAGTTACCGTAGTAAAAAGAAATCTAACTTGGCCTTTCATGCCCAAGGTCATGGGTTACACTGCTTAGAGGTTTGATACACATTAACTCTTCCCTGGTGTCAGCTAAATGTATCTCAGCTTGATTTCTTCTAAAGCAGCAGGATAAGGCAGGAAATGGCACTGGGAAAGGGTTGGGGTGCTACTTCACTTGGGAAGTGACATTTGTTGAGTTTTGCCCCATTTTACGACTCTCCTTGCCACATTTGTTAAGTGAATCACTACAGTCGTTAAATTAGTATCACGGTTGTTAAGTGAATCTGATTTCCCCATTGACTTTGCTTGTCAGAAAGTTGCAAAAGGGGATCACATAACTCGGGGACACTGCAACCGGCATAAATGTGCCTGAGTGGTCAAGCATCCAAATGTAAATCACGTGACCATGTGGATGCTACAAGTCATAAGTGTGAAAAATGGTCATAAGTCACTTTTTTCAGTGCCGTTGTAACTTCAAACGGCCACTAAACAATCTGTTGTAAGTGAAGGACTACCTCTGGTTAGCCGGATTGTGATGCTTGAACTGCTTCCATACTTCCATGGAAGACCGGGACTGCCGATGATATCGGTAGTAGCAGCCCAGTGTTTAGACTGGTTCTTTGGTGCCTCTGCCTTTGCCTTGGGAGGAATCCCACAATGGGCTATTGAGGAACACTAATTGTGACAATCTTGGCTTACATATTTAAAGGGTAACACACCCTTGTTCCCATGAAAAAATTACTCTGTTCCCAAGCTGGGATTGTTCTGTAATGGTTTCCAAAGGCATCGCTGTTAAGCAGAACTGCCAGAAGGACGAGGCATGACAACAGAGCTCTATCTGACTTTTCAGCATGGCAGGCTTGGAGATGTGGCTCCAGGGATAAATAAAATAATACAAACAATAGTGCTGATTGTGCAGAATTCTAGTCATTCTTAACCTTTGGTGCAGGGTGGATTTGATTTTAATCAAGTTGATTTAAATTGTGATTTAAATCAAAATGTTTAAAGAGCAACTGTCATCTCTGTCCCGCAGCGGCTCCTCTTACCTGCTGTTGACTCACTGACAGATAGATTTTTACTCCAAAAGCATTTTATTAAAATAAATTTGATTTTAAAAAATCAATTTAAATTTTTTAAAAAATCTGGTTTTTAAATTTATTTTTAATCTATTTTATCCACCCTGCTTTGGTGTTTGAGTTTTCCCTATAGGCGTTTGGATGAGTTAGATGACAATTTGTGCTGAAAGTCCACTGAGTAACAAAGGCAAATTCTTTGCTTTCTGGCACGAAAGGAACTCTACTGCACAGCCCCTGCCTTCCTTTGGAACAAAACCTGAGGTTGTTCAGAAATTCGCATGCCGTATTTCCCCCTTGGTGGGAAAGGAGGAAAGCTGCAGCTCTTGCTGTCGAAGGACCAGGCTAGGAGCAGCTACTGCCGCCGCCACCACCGGTTCCTTCTTTAACCATATTGCTTTCCGTTGAACACGCGACGGTTAGCCAGGGCGCCTTTCCCCAGAAACAGAAGCGTCGCTCTTTGGATTCCCGCCCAAGGAATGGCGGGGAGTCATTCGCAGGGTTGACAGTGTGATGTCTTTCTTGGTTTGCAGGTTGGTGAACTAGTCAAGGTCACCAAGATTAACATGAGTGGCCAGTGGGAAGGAGAGTGCAACGGCAGGCGCGGCCATTTCCCATTCACCCATGTCCGGATGCTGGATCAACAGAATCCCGAAGAGGACTTCAGCTGAAAAGGACCCCACCGCTCTGCTTACGGATGGGAGCAAGCACACGGCGTTTCATTGCTGCAGCAATGGGGACTCTTTCTTGAGAAGTCAAAAGGAGGGTGGTTTCTGCCAGCATTCTGGCATTGAAGATGAACTGTCCCTGGGACACAACACTCGTGGGGTGCTTGTGTTTTCAGGGCACGGCTTCTGTGCCAAGAGGTAGGTCAAAGACATTACATTCCCCCCACCACCACCACCACCTCCACCCCCAGAGTAGGACGAGAATGCTACCCGGGGCTGTGGAGCTCTCGGGCTTCGTCAGTTGCATGGCTTTCTCTGTAGGTAGATAACCCGAGTGGCTTGGTAGGACACTCACGGCTTGCTAGCCTAAATATTCCTCTCTTTGGATCTGATATATATATATTGTAATTTCTGTCTCATAACTGCTTGTTGCAAAATGAGTACACTATGCATCGCCCTGGTCTATTTTCTAAGTGTATTTTGATACTGGGATAGCTGGAGCTTAACGATTATATTTTGGATGCGTTAGGGCGAAGTCTGCTCATTATTGTGAGTTCCAAAAATTTGTCTTTAGTACAGACATAGCAAGTAGCTGACTTAATTTCAGAGGTAGATGTTAATGGAAATTAAATATTGGTGGAATGTTAAGCTTCCCTTAAAGGGCAGAGAACTGTGTTCATTGTACTTTTTTAATTGCCGACTTATCTGAGCACTACACTCCAAAGCATTAGCCAATTATAGAAAGAGATGAGTGCCTGAAAATTTCCTTTTAGTACTTTCTACTTACTCCATATAGCAAGGCAAATATTGCCATGATAAATGAAAATGCCAAATACTTTCTTCTATAAATGGTTCCTTTCAAACTATGGTTCCATCTGCAAAGCATTCCGATGGTGGTTTCATGAAGAACTTATTTTTAATAAACTAATAAAAAATACTAAAATGCTTTTGCATTGATTCTAAAACATAAATAGTTTACACACACACAATATCTTTCCACTACTACTCAAGACTTGAAGAAACCTATTTTTCTACTAACCTTTCCCAGACTGCTTGTTGCCAAGTTTCCTTTTGACTTAATATTGCTAGAAAAAGAATAACCTTGAACCAACAAAATTTCCTTTGCTGATCAAAACGTGCCTCTGTCTTGATACTCTTCCCAAGAATGAACTGCAGGTGTGTAATTGGCCATCTCATCTCCCATTAACAAAGGAGGAAGAGGCCCTTTAGTGCTTAATGCAACAATGCTGCCATTCTGTTCTTGCTTGAAGAATATTGAAATGATCCCACTTGTCTCTCATGGAAGTCCCATGCACCCCTCCCCCCCCCAAAAAAACCAATCAATTAGGATATGAAGAGAGCAGCGCACAGGTCAATCCTTACACACGGTTGCATTACCCATAAAGGGCTGGGCTGAAGTGTATTTTGCAGGGGAGTTGGCTGTGGCTTATGGGATGTACTACCCAATCATCCTCAGTGGTTAAGTCGGATTTCCAACATAATGGAAGTTTGTAGATCCCAACTTCTATGGATCCAGAGATCGGAATGGTCCATTCCCTAGTAAAACGGTTACCCATTGGTGACACCATGCAAAGCACTGCTGCCCAGTGGGTCATTGAGGCTGGGAGATTATTTGTTCTGAAGCCAAGTTCTTGGCACGCCTCAACTATACTTCCCAAGGGTTTTAGGAAAGGCAGCAGTGCCACCAGTGCCACCTTTTGTGGGAATTTGCTGTGGGAATTTGTTTTATGGGAAATTCAGTAGAGATAGTAAGATTTGTTTCCCTGAAAATGGTTTTTCCGAAACAGATCCTAAAGTATTCTTGGACACGGCAGAATCTCTCCAATTGAGGTTGGATGATTTTCTGTACTCTCGCAGGAAGTACCTCTTAAAGAGATATACAGAAGTTTTATTTAACAGGATATGCTGCATTTAAGTAGAAACATAGTTTATTATAATACATTTCTGCTTAGGCTCTGCCAAGTTGGCAGCATTAGAAACACCAGGGCAATGTTTTTATTGTATGTAACGTTGGAAATTCCCTGTGACCAATTCTGCAATGTTGACCCTTCAGAATTTCTGGAATGATACATAGACCCTGTGGTTTGTTGAATTTTGACCAGCTATTGTGATTCATAAACCATATTGCCTGTATATTATAAAACTAATCAACTTTGTTTTATTCACTAAACCATGACAGTATAGTATGGAAAACTATTCAATACGTTCATATATTATGCTTTGCCTTTGGTTTAATGTGTGAATTATCCCACTGGAGTTCAGCAAATCAACTACAGAATAGCAAATGTATTATTGCAATATTCATATTTCAACCACTTTATTTCAGTTTTAAAAGTATGGTTGCAATATTATCACGCTTCCTCTTCATCTGGTATCAGAAGCATTTTCATGATCTGCTTCTTACTCAAGTGAAGCAATTGCTTTGCTTGAAGGCCTCCTAGCCAGCCCATTTTGGGTAGGTAACTTTCCCCTGAATTAGTGACCTGCTATAAAAGCCCCACTGGTTACTATTTTTATTTTGAGATGCATTTTTGCATAGTATTACACTACTCAGTTTAAATGGGTTTTTTTTTCCTAGCTAGTATTTTAGTCAAGCCCAGCATTTCATAATAAAACCTGATGTGATCAAAGCTTGTTAATCTATTATAACTGCAAGTATTTTAATCATTTTAATAACATGCTGTCAGAGTGAAAAATTCTGTACACAAACTAAAGCAAAAGCATATATAAAATGTGCCCTGTATTATATAACACTACACACTTTCTTGACAGTTATTTTTTGTAGCCTGTAATCAACGTGTATAATATGTGGCGTAAATAAAAATAGCAAAAGTGGAATTTGTGTTTCATTACCTTAACAATGTAAGTGCATGGATACGCAGTGGGTGGGCTGATTCTAAAGATGCATCATATTGTTCAAAGAAACATTTTTTTAAAAATTTGTTTTTAGAATAGTGACAAAAAGAAATAAAAGAACAAAACACAAAGAAAAATACATTATCAAAGAAGAAATGCTTTTTTAAAAAGTGAAATACAATAAAAATATTTTAATAGTAAATAGTGACAATTCTATATAGCTATCTAATGCAACTATACATTTGAGTGATAGTGAATGACAAGATCAGCTGCTGCAGAATGACAGAGTTGGAAGGGACCTTGGAGGTCTTCTAGTCCAACCCCTGCTCAGGCAGGAAACTATACCATTTCAGACAAATGATTGTCCAGCCTCTTGAAAACATGCATTGTTGGAGTATTCACCTGGAGGGAAATTGTTTCACTGGCTAATTGTTCTCACTGTCTGGAAATTTCTCCTTAATTCCAGATTGCTTCTCTCCTTCATTAGTTTCCATCTGTTGTTTCTTGTGCTGCCTTCGGGTGCTTTGGAAAATCGGCTGACCCCCCCTCTTCTCTGATAGTCCCTCAAATATTGGAAGATGCGTTCATGTCACCCCGAGTCCTTCTTTTCTTCAAAACAGACATACCCAATTCCAGCAACTATTCTTTATGTTTTAGCCTCCTCCCCTAATCATCTTTGTTTCCCTTTTGTGCACTCTAGTGTCTCAACACCTTTTTTACAACGTGGTAAAACTGGATGCAGTATTCCAAGTATGGCGTTACCACGTGGTTAAGTGGTATTAACACTCCCTCAGTTGAATACCAAGAGAAAAAGCCACCAAGGTCCCAGGTCTTAACCAAGCCCCCGTTATATATGGCTTTTTGTACTGTTTGTGGTTTTAGGCCTGGCTGACTAAATTTATTACATGGAGAAAGATCACAGACCTAAAAGTGAAACAAACTATTAAGGGAGGATTTTGAAGCTTTAAAATAAAGACTGGACTGGGACTGTTAGCAGTGTGAAAAGAAATTTAATTTGTGGATAATATTGTTTGATTATTGGACGAATTCATTTAAAAAAAGAGGAATTTTATGTTTCATTTTTTCTACCTTTCCTCCTGTTTAAAGCTGCATTTTAGAGCAGGGGAGATGTGAACACAGGCCTCAAAGCTCAGTTAGGTTTTGGTACTATATACCAGATTGGCCCTTTCATTTTTGATTAGGTCCAGGACCAGGCAGCTTTATCACAAGAGCCACCAAAACCAGACTGCCCAAGGGCTGCTGGGCAGGACCCAGAGTTGAGAGCAAAGGGCTGGAACGTGTCCCATCTCTCAACCCTCACCATCCTCCTCCACCCCACAGGACCTGCAGCATTCCCAAGTCATGTCAATGGGGAAGCTGGCAGGAGGTTGCCAATGGCAACCACACGAAGCCCTTGCTCCACGGCATTTGCTCAAAAACAACAAACATCTGGGATTTCTATTGCAAAGCATCTCAACTGCTGCTGCTGCTAAGTTAGGGCTGCTTGTAGCAAAGACGGTAGCAGCAGTCGTAGCCTCCGAGAACTCCAGGTGAAGAGCCAGATTCTTCCAAAAGGGGAAGGAGGAAGACCTGCCTTGCCCCCGTTTAATGTCCATCCTGGTCAAAGTCCTCGGACAGGCAGGTTCGGCGTTTAGGAGCATCGGGCCAGCCTGCTCCAATTAACAGGATTGGCCCAGGCTTAGCCCGATCATCCCTCATTAACTGGCCAAAGGCTACCTGGAATCCTCCTCCTCCTCCTCCTCCTCCTCAAGGGAAGAAAAGGGGCCACCGGGGGCTCCTCTGCAGCTACCGGAGAAGCGCTGCCTGGCTGTGCCGGGTCCCCGTCAGAGAAAGGGCCCCAAAGCGGCTTAGAAAGTTGGCCGCAGAAGAGATCAGAGGGGAGACGGCGGGCCGAGGACGAAGCGGGGCAGCAGCGTCTGGCTCTGCCGGGGACGGGCGGCCTGGAGGGCACCGACTTGTGTCGATGCCGGGCGCGTCCACGCGGGGTCCCGCCGGGTGGGGGTCGAGGGCCCGGCCCGCTCAGCGCAGGAGTCGCCCCGTCAGGAGACGCCGCTCCCTCGGGGAAGGCGCCCCGGAGACAGCGAGGCCGCAGACGCTTCTCTGAGGGCCTGCAGGGCGCCGGTCTCGGCGAGAAGTAGCGACGCCGCCCGCGTCCGCCCGGCGGTTGCCAAGGGCCGGTCGTTGCTAAGGAGGGCGAGGGGGCGTGGCGGCGCCTGCGCGCGGCGGTCGCACTGCCCGGATGTAGCGGGAGGAGGCGCCGCCGCCATCTTTGCCCGGAGAGCAGCGAGAGCTGATCGTGGCTGAGCCCCCCCGCCGCCGGACCATCGGTCTCCATCCGCCCCGCGTCGCCGCCCTCGCCCTCGCCCCACGGACATGGACGACCGGGAGGACCTCGTCTACCAGGCTAAGCTGGCCGAGCAGGCCGAGCGCTACGATGGTGCGCGGGGCGGCGGCGGGAGACGAGCAGGGAGGGGCGGGCAGGGCAGGGCGCCAGGTGGGGGCGAGGCTGCGGCCGCCGGGCCGGGGCGAGGAGAAGCGGCCGGCGGCAGACCGGAGCCGGGCGGCGGGGCA